GTAATTTTGGTGTAAAAAAATATTAGGATTATCTAAAAATCTATTTTTATCTCTAATTATAAAATTGTAAACTCCAAAAATAGTTAAAATCAAGTAGATCTATAAACATATGAAAATATTGTAAATGGATTGTCTAGATAATATGTTGCAACATGCACTATTTCTGGGACTCAAAATATTTTTTCCTATATTTCTATATTTCGATGTTGAGATGATCATTTAGAGGGTTTTTTAACATTAAAACAATCTTTTCTAATGGATTTTTGAGGTGCATTTGTAATTCTATCATTTTAAGGTTGCAACCTTATGTTAGGGTGCTCACACTATAGAGTAATTTATCATTGCACTCAACAAATTTGGACACTTATATAGTCTTGTTTTGTACATGAAGCTTTTTATAGTAAGAGTATTTTCTGTTATTGAGAGATGTGTGACGTCATCTATATGAGGTATGAAATCACCTACATAGATAATTAAATGCCACTAATGTGCTCCATACCACTAGTGTGCTCCATGTGGGTGATATATATATATTACACTATTTTTTGTGTCCCAACTATAGGGTCTCAAAAGTGAATTCCGAAGCTTCATTTCTCTCTCTTGGTGTTGAGGCTTTGTGTAAGTCTCTTTACTTTTGCACGTATGGATAAAATAGTGGATTTGATGTAATTCGGTTTGCTGTGGAGGATTGATAGGCATTGCATGCTAACTTTCCGATAAAATTAATCAATCACAAATAACTAGGTGCTGTTTCGACGAGCTTTTAATGAGCAATTGAAAAATTTCCATTCCTACATAAATTGTTAGAATTGTTCTTGAATTGCCCAAATTTCGTGTTACTAATTTAGATTGCCGACTTATTGATCCATATCATTGTTGGAAAAATCTGCCGTTTTAATCAGTATCCGCCTGTTAGATCGGAACCAGCCACTAGCTAGTTTGAGTTGGTTTTGGTGATCGGCTGGATATTTTTAAAAAAATTTAAAAAGATTATATAAAATCTCAAAAAAATATGTGATTTTATTTGTAATGATTTTTTAATATTTTTCATCATTATAGAAAAAATTGAAAATTGTTTTTCCCAGTAATATATATTTGTACATTTTCCCATCTTTTTTAAAAAAATTTCAAAAATATCCCTTGGAACACATAGATTCTTTGAAATTCATTTTTCTCATTAATTTTCAATTTTATTTAGATGTGCTTTGTTTAATCATTCTTTAAATATATTTTTTCATATTTATTAGATTTGTTTTTGTATTTTTTAATACTTTTTTGACCGCTCGGAACTTATCCGGTAGAACGGTTGACCTGTTAGGCCAGTTGAACTGCTTCTTGGCCCATATCTGGTTAATTGTTTCGGTTCGATTTTTCCTATGCTGGTCTAAATTGTTTGGATTACTGATCTAATTCGTCAGATAGGTGACTCGAGATAATTTAAAAAAATAAAAATAAAAATTTAGATGAAATGAAGAACGTTGCATGGGTGCTTTAAACACTAGAATACACCTAAGAAACTAAAAAAAAAGCAGGAAAAAAAGTAAATAAATAAAAAGGAAAGCCAATTGTTTTGGGGGACCAATGGGTTCCGATACTTCTCCCGACCCAGATCGATTCTCGATTGGGAACAATGGGTTCTAATACTTTTCCAGAACCAGATCGATCCCTACTTGTTCCCAAACACCATATCAAACAGATTGTGTTTTCCGAAACACCATATCAAACACCATATCATCCAGATTGTGTTTTCCGAAACACCATATCAAACAGATCAAGATTTACCTTCGATCAAGTAGGAGGGTTGGAACCGAAATCCGACCACGGATGATCCACCCTCATGGTTGCAATTCATTCCTCAATAAAGACTGTTCGCATACGTAGGCTAAATATAGAGAAGGCAGAAAACAAATAGGGACCAACTCAACTCCTGGTTTAAGGCGCAGAGGTCCTTTCAATGGATCCCTTGCTCTGGCATAGAGTTGCTGCCGTTTCTGGTACACACCCTATATTATCTTCATGTATGAATCTATTTTTCGTCGACTGATTCTTTTGTTAATGGAGTTTTTTGCTTGTATTATTTTGGTCTTAGGGGTTGCTGCTCTTGGTCTGGGCACCTATGGAGCCCATGTCTTTCAGCCGCACAACCCAGCTTACAAAGATGTAACAAATCTAACTCTCTCTCTTACACAAACTCTCTCTCTGAAGTCTTCAATCCCAACCCCATCTTAAAGAATCTCTTTCTCCCTCTGAATTGCAGAATTGCATCTTTTCCGCCTCCCATTTCTTCAAACAATTGCAGAATCACGACCTAGAACTACTTTTCATACAACTTTCTCTATCCATGAATTAAAAATTGTGAGTCTTTCTCTCTCTATTGCAGAGATGTGGAATCTCCTTCCCTCTCTCTCATCATATCTTCGAGCCCAAACCCAACTTAGAAAATGGGACAGAACTCTCCCTCTCTCTCTCTCTCTCTCATTAAGTACAAATTTTGGGTATTTACCGCATATATTGTGTGTAAAAAACCTAAAATTGGCAGGTTTGGCAAACTGCATCTCTCTATCATTTGGTGCATACAGCAGCCTTGTTAGCGGCTCCTATTACCAAGCATCCCCACGTCGTATGTTTTTCTTGATGTTTCTGCTTTGCTAGGCTCTGTTTTTTGGGCTTAATTAGAGAGAATTGTAGAAATGCTGATGTTTCAGTGAGATAACTCGCTCTGTTCTATTCTATTTCTTGGATTTCTCTTTTCTGTGCAGTTTGGGTCTTTGCTAACAACCGGCATTTTGGCTTTCTCGGGCACGTAAGTGCACGCTTCTCAGTTTGTAATGAAATTCTGTATATTTCTTATCATATGATTTTTTTATGATGAGATGATTGTCATTCTTAGGATGATGGTGGTGGTGATTATGATGATTATAATTCTTCTGCTGATCATGGATGGTATGAATGATGATGATGATGATCAGTGTTACAGAACATGCCTGAGTCCACTCGAGCAACTAGGCCTCACCCTATGGGTAGGCCAAGTTAGCCCAAGTTGTATTTATAACTCGGGTGCATAAAAGAGATAAAAAATTCTTAAGAATTGTTAAAAAATATGGGATTGTTCTATAATCTTTTTGTATATAATTTGGATTTTATGATCTGAAAAGGGTGAGGGCCTTAAAGCTTTCCCTTAGCCCATCCCAAGCCTGAGTAAAGGAGGTGGCTGCCTGAATTAAACTTTGCCAAAACTTTCCATGAGTAGCTAACCCCAATTAGTTGAGAAAAAGCTCCGATAATGATGTGTATAATTTGCATGTTTTTGGCGTAGATTGGTGTGTATAATTTGCATTTTTTGGCGAAGATTGGTGATTTTTTTTTTTTTAAACAATCCCTATTTTTATGTTTTTTTCTTTTGATTTTTTTAAAATATCCCCAACTATAAATATTTGTTTTAAATCCATCTCTTTTTGTAAATTTTTAAGCTTATTTGGAGTTTAAGGATGTCTTTGGTTTTATTTAACTTTTAGTACCTTTCTTTTATTTTTTCAAAATTTTTCATTTTTCATTTTTAATTTATCTAGGGCTTTGATGCTGTACAAGACTAGGCTTGGTCCACTTGAACTCGGCCGAGTAGCTCGCTTCGGCCAAGGGCCGAGTCCCTTGATTGGATCATTGATGATGATGATAATGATCATCTTCATCGTCATGTCATAATAGTTTTATCATATCATATTTTATTTCTTATTATGGTTTTTGGAACTCTCTGTGAGCTAATTTATTTGGTTACTGAAACTAGGGTTGGAAATAGGGGTTTGTAATTTAGTTTTAATGGGTATCCCTTATGCACGATATTCATACATTTATAAGATTCCAGAAGTATGGATTATGTGTAAGAAGCAGAAACTTGCTGCAATGAATAAATCTAGGATAGTTGGTTTAGAAGGTAAGTAGCCCAACTTTTGCATAGCTTGAAAGAAGTACAGTCCAACATAGAACTTAATATTTTTGGTGCTTGTCTTGAACATGTTTTCAACTTTTAATTACTGTGGATTCTAGTAATATTTTATTTTTTCATAGCTTAAAAGAAGTACAGTCCAACATAGAACTTAATATTTTTGGTGCTTGTCTTGAACATGTTTTCAACTATCGTGGATTCTAGTAATATTTTATTTTTTCCAGTGGTACAATACTGGAAAGCGTTTTAAATTGGTAGCAGCTTCAGATTAGATGAGCCGTCAAGCTATAATTCTGCCTATCATTTTTATTATTAACGCGTATTCAGATTGTATGCTGATTAGTAAATTACTTATCCCAAATCCCTAGTCAATTATATTAAGCTACAAAGGTCGCTAACCTTGTCTTAGGTGATGATGACCAATTTGATGGTAAAACTGGGATCTCTAGTTTCTTGTTAACATGATCTCCCCTTGGGACACTAAATGCCTCGTAAAAGTGCTTTTTCATATTATTAGACCAGTCGAAACCATGTTATCCCAAATAAATAAAAAAGTCAAAACCATCAGAGAATATTCATAAAATCCATATTTATTCTGTAATCTGCAAACATGGCATACTTCATTGGTCAAATAGCTGGGTCGCAATGTATAGATAGAAGAAATAACATGGTCAGATTGCTTGTATGAATATATACCCTTTAGTTTCTCTCTCTCTCTCTCTCTCTCTCTCTCTCTCTCCCCACATTTGTAGATGAAATGCAGTCCATTTCAAATTTCAAGTGAAAGGCAATGCATGGCCCTGGAGACTCAATTTGGACCAACCAAGAGTTCTGTAAGGACTAGGACTAATCTTTTGATCGTACATTATGATCTGCTCATTGCTGTTTAATAGTCTTAAAATCTTCGTGGTTACTTTATGCATGAATCCTAAGCACACACTTATAGGTTATTTGGAGGAGGCTTTAGAAGATCATGGATTTTGGAATGTTTAAAATGAGATTTATTTCCCTTCTTAAGGAAGAAGGAAGTTGGGTGTATATTTGGCTTGAATCCACACATCAGGAGCTAGACATGAAGTTATCTGTTTTCATTGAGTGGCAGGACTTTTGGAGCTACATGAAACAAACTAGTTGCGTTTTTCTTTTCTTTTTATTGATCTCAAGTAACTTTATGTATGGAAGCTATTGCAGCACGTCATACGGAAGATTGGGTGATGGAGCTATACGCAATATGGACATGATGCTAGATATCATGTCAAATCAAGAAGTGACAAGCATAAATCTTGCACATATAAATGCAACATCTTTGTGTTTGTGAATGGTTGTGTACTCCTTGTTGTAAGCTGAAGATATTTACCTAGAAGTTGGTTGAAGGAAAGTTCAGCTGTTCTTAAAATTTTGTTTGATATTTTGAAAGTGGTGACCCAATTCAGGGGATTTTTTGAGAGTTCATCTAGCTTTCTACTTCATGGATATCTCTACTTTTGGAATGCTTCTGGCACAGGCGAGTGCATGGCATCAGCTATGGTCCCTCTATCTTTGGCTTAGATCTTTGCTTAAATACTTGTGAGATGTTAACTTGTTGGGTTGCCCGTCAACCCCCAATAAGTTATCATTCTGGTATTGAACGGCTTAATTTTGGTTACTATACTTGTAGGGGAGCTTTCAAATAGTGTGTTTGAGTCTTTCATAAGGTCTTATTCGTGATGGTATTTTTAGGTCCATTCTTTCTATACATTTAAATGCCATTTGAGTGCTATTTATTTTTTATGTACTTCATCATCATCATCATCATCATAACCTTTTCTCAATTAATTGGGGTCGGCTACATGAATCTTGGTCCGTCATTCTGCTCTATTAAAGGCCATACCCTCAATGAAGCCATAAATCCCCATATCTTTTCGAACTACTTCCATCCACGTCCTTTTGAGCCTACCCTTTGCCCTTTTAAGTCTTTTCACCTGAACTAACTTGCACCTCCTAATAGGTGTTGTACTTGGTCGGTGCCGCACATGGCCAGCCCACCGAAGTCTACTCTCTCATCTTATCACCTATTGGTGCCACACCTAAATTCTTCTGAATGGATTCATTTTGAATTCTATCGCTTCATGCCTTGTAACTCATCCATTTCAACATCTTCATCTCCATAACACTTATTTTATGGGTATATTGTTTTTTGTCCACCCAATATTCAGCCCCATAGAGTAAAGCTAATCTCACAACTGTCCTATAGAATTTGTCCTTCAGCTTCATTGGTATGCGACGATCACATAAAATTCCAGTTGCACATTTCCATTTCGCCCACCCAGCTCTAATTCTGTGTGCGACATCTTCTTCAATCTCTCCATTTTTTTGGATTATCGACTCATGATATCGAAAGTGCGGTCTTTTTTGTACTTCCTAGCCCTCAATCATAACTACTTCCTCGTCTCCACTCCTATTATTACTAAACTTGCATTCCATATACTCTGTTTTAGTCCAGCTAATTTTAAAACTTTTGGATTCTAGAGCATCCCTCCAAAGTTCCAACTTTGTATTGACGCCGTTTCAGGTGCCATCGATCAAGACCATGTCATCTGCGAACAACATGCACCACGTTACCTCATCCTGTAAGTGCCTAGTTAAGTCATCCATAACTAAGACAAGGAGGTATGGGCTCAATGCCGACCCTTGATGTAGATCTTTTGTCACTGAAAACTCACTCATCTCTCCACTAGTTATTCGTGCACTTGTTAGCGCTCCATGTACTTACTTTGTCTAAATAAGCTTAACTCATATGTGCTTAATACACATTGTCATTCTTGTGTTTCTTCTAACTTCTTATGATTCTAGAATGGTCTTCACCTGGTGATGTTGATCTCATTTCATGCCTCACATGAGTGCAAAGGGGCATGAGATCTACGGATTGGCTTGTCAATTGTTCCTCATGACTATATGGGTGGGGATAGAAAAATCCATTTGTCCTCCTTAGGGTATTTTGCATACCTACCCCTGCAGTCATTGCTAGATGGCCTCACATCATGGGTGAGCTCACTTTTAGCATTCATACAAACTACCTAAGCAGGAACTCCAGCCCATAGTTTCATATTGGGGCTTTATATTAGTGAATGTGGAGGTTTGTAACTGCATACTTCATCCACTTCCTCCCTCCCTCTCTCTCTCTCTCTC